TTCCTTTTAATGTCCCCATGAGCTAGTCTCTTATTTTTGTGTTTTCCTACCAGTGTAAGTGTATAGAAGGTATATAAACTGATACTAAGCAAACAAGTTTCTAAGATAATCACAACTTAAGAAAAAATGCAGGCCGGGCGCAGTGGCTCATGCCTGTAATCCTGCACTTTGGGAGGCTGAGGCGAGATCACCTGAGGTCGGGAGTTCAAGACCAGCCTGACTAACATGGAGAAACCCTGTCTCTACTAAGAATACAAAAATTAGCGGGCGTGGTGCTGCATGCCTGTAATCCCAGCTACTCAGGAGGCTGAGGCAGGAGAATCGCTTGAACCCAGGAGGTAGAGGTTACGGTGAGCCAAGATTATGCCATTGCACTCCAGCCTGGGCAACGAGAGCGAAACTCCATCTCAAAAAATAAAAATAAAAAATAAAAAATAATGCTTTCAGTACATATTTAAAGCCTTAAAATAATATTTATATTCATTTACCAATTAAGAAATAAACTCATAATGGGAGTGCCCAAAATTTGATTTCTAAATACTATACTATTCTCCAATTAAAACAAACAACAACAACAACAAACAGGGATCCTTGGAGAATTGACTGATGCCAGGCCGGAGAGCAAAATATAAGGGTTTTGGGTACCAGAAAACAAAAACTAGGGAAGGACTGGAAAAAAAAAATTCGGGCAAAGGGACACAGCTCCCAATAGTCAAAGAGCTACAATAAGTTCAGCAATAAAGTAACAATAGTATTGCATTCTAGGGCAATGAATAAAATAAGTACTCAAAGCACAAAATAATATAACTGATTGAATAAATAAATAAGAGGGGAGAAGGGATAGCTCTTCCTCACAAAGTATTCCAATGAATACTTTGAATGAATGAGAATCATATGTAAGTATCCAATGAATGCTTAGAAGGAATGAAGGAAAGAGAAAGTCAAATCCCAACACCACAGCAGTCATTGCTGTAGGCAAGATCAATCAATCAATGCTACTTAGACCAAAGTTCAAAGAGAAACTATCTCATTTGCAAAGCAGTAAACTATCTTCCCCCAAATAATTACCGATGACTAGGAGAAAGACAGTAAGGTTCGAGTGGTAAAACTTGACAGAAAACTTGAGATGCAACCAAATTGAGGGACTTTATAAAAATACAAATACAAGGCTGGGCGCGGTGGCTAAGGCCTGTAATCCTAGCACTTTGGGAGGTCGAGGTGAGCGGATCACCTGAGGTCGGGAGTTTGAGACTAGCCTGACCAACACAGTGAAACCCTGCTTCTACTAAAATTACAAAATTAGCTGGCGTGGTGGCGCATGCCTGTAATCCCAGCTACTCTCCTGCCCAGAGGCTGAGGCAGGAGAATCACTTGAACCTGGGAGGTGGAGATTGCGGTGAGCCAAGATCGCGCCATTGCACTCCCACCCGAAACTCCGTTTCAAAAAAACCAAATATAAAACACTTCTTCAAAAGTGTTTTGAAAGACTAAGTAACTGTCACAGATTGAAGCAGACCAAGTAAACATGACAACTAAATGTAATGAGGAATTCTAGTCTGGATCCTACAATGGAAAAAGAACGTTAAAAAAAAGAAAAAAGATAAACTTTTAAAAGCCTGCAGTTTAATTAATAGTACTGTACCAACGTACATTTTTTAATTTTGATGAACATGCTATGGTAACCCAAGATAGCAACTTTAGACAAACTAGGTAAAAGGTGTAAGAGAACTCTAAAATGTTTGCAACCCTTTGTAAGTCTACAATTATTCCAAATAAAAAGTTTGTCGGCCAAGCACGGTGGCTTACCCCTGTAATTCTACCACTTTGGGAGGCTGAGGCAGGTGGATCACCTGAGGTCAGGAGTTCAAAAGTAAAAATATGAAAATTAGCTGGGCGTGGTGTCGCATGCCTGTAATCCCAGCTACTCGGGAGGCCTCGTGAGGCTGACGCCGGATAATTGTTTGAACCCGTGGGGGCGGAGGGGGGGGGGGGGGGGGGGGGTGGCCGAGGTTGCAGTGAGCTGAGATTGCGCCAGCCTGGGCGAAGAGCGCTAACTGTTTCAAAAAAGTTTGTCTTATCTTAGATTGCAAAGTTCCAGTCATTCAGTCATCATTTTTATCTGATTTATTTCCATTTTAGGTATTACAGGTTTTGTTTTGGTTTTTTTGAGATGGGGTTTCACTCTTGTTGCCCAGGCTAGCGTAGGATGGCGCGACCTCCGCTCACTGCAACCTCCGCCTACTGGATTCAAGCAATTCTCCTGCCTCGGCCTCCTGAGTAGCTGGGATTACAGGTGCCCGCAACCATGCCCAGCTCATTTTTTGTATTTTTAGTAGAGATGGGGGTTTCACCATGTTGGCCAGGCTGGTCTTGAACTCCTGACCTCAGGTGATCCACCCGCCTCGGCCTCCGAAAGTGCTGGGATTACAGGCATGAGCCACTACGCACGGCCAGGTATTAAAGATTAGCTTAGCAAGTGGCTCCTAAAAATCGAGGACATTTAATACTGTCGATTTGTATCTACCAATTTGGATTCCTTCTTTCATTAATTTGGCATATATTTATTGAGAACCTACTACATGTTCCAGTGCTGCCTTGAGGCGCCTATGAGGAGACAGATACGTGGTATGCTAAACAGTGACAAGTGATACATGGTAAAATAAAACAAGAGCTGGACACGGTGGTTCACACCTGTAATCCCAGCATTCTGGGAGGCTCAGGCAGATCTCCTGAGGTCGGGAGTTCAAGACCAGCCTGACTAATATGGTGAAACCTCGTCTTTACTAAAAATACAAAAATTAGCCGGGCATGGTGGCACACGCCTGTAATTCCAGCTACTCGGGAGGCTAAGGCAGGAGAATCATTTGAACCCGGGAGGCGGAGGCTGCAGTGAGCGGAGATTGTGCCACTGCACTCCAGCCTGGGCAACAAAAGTGAAACTCCGTCTCAAAAATAAATAAAATAGGCCGGGCGCGGTGGCTCAAGCCTGTAATCCCAGCACTTTGGGAGGCCGAGACGGGCGGATCACGAGGTCAGGAGATCGAGACCATCCTGGCTAACACAGTGAAACCCCGTCTCTACTAAAAACACAAAAAACTAGCCGGGCGAGGTGGCGGGCGCCTGTAGTCCCCGCTACTCGGGAGGCTGAGGCAGGAGAATGGCGTAAACCCGGGAGGCGGAGCTTGCAGTGAGCTGAGATCCGGCCACTGCACTCCAGCCCGGGTGACAGAGCAAGACTCCGTCTCAAAAATAAATAAATAAATAAATAAATAAATAAATAAATAAATAAATAAAATAAAATAAACAAGAAAAAAAGAAATTTAAGATTAGGAAGGAAAAAAATAAATTCATAAATTCAATCTTACAGAACACCTAACGATTCACCTGAGAATCACAGAAATGTACTTTCACATTGTTTCTAATACAAAATATTGAAAATTGCAAAATATAGTGTTATGTTTTACTATAGCTTACTCTCTGACATCGTAGACTGCATATGCACTAATTCTTCCGGGACACCAGAAGTCACATAAAACCTACTGGTGGAATACTTGCCATTTTTCATGCTTTTTGTCAGTTTCCTTTTTAAGTGCATACTGAGGTTTATCTTCAAAACATTCTCATCTTTTCGGCTTACAGTGAGACTTTTTTTTTTTTTCCCCTAACCAAAATGTGTCTGCCTTTCATTAAGATAACATAAAAGAGCAGCCTAATTCTTTGGTCCCTGAATATGCACACACATGCATGCACACACACATGCAGACACACACAACACATGGAGGCTCTCTGAAACTGCTTAATCAAATTACTGCTCAAACCACTCCCTGGCACTTCCTCGCAAAACAACCAACCTAATGCTGAGTTTTTAGTTTTGCACTGAAAGCAGTTTGAAACAGAATAACATTCTTTCCTGGCCACCACTTATAAATTCGGAAGGAGACAATTCTCTCATCTCTTAGGCCTGTGCAAGTCTGAGGGTGCTACAATCGCTGTAGGTTAGAGCTCTGCCTTTGTTTAAAAACTGCATTTTATATACCAGTTATTTCATTGTGAAAGATAATCACCCTCACAAACAAGATTTTGCTATTTTTCTGCACAAATGTCACTTCACTATTTAGAGCTTCATGTAAATGTGTCTTACAGAAAATAAACTGCTAACATGATTTCTTAATTATCCTCGCAAAAAAAAAAAAAAAAAAATGTTTTAGTGGTGTCATAATGCCAGCACTAATTTTAGCCAAAATACCAACAAATGCATTCTACAAATTCAGGAGATTATGATTTTTAAAAAGCAGTAGTATGGATGTACATAATGTCAGTGAATTATACACTTCCAAATGGTTAAATGGTAAACGTTTATGTATTGTATGGCAAATGTTATGTGTATTTTGGCATAATACTGTTTCCTCACAATAATACTAACAAGTTTTTTAAAAAGCAATAGCACGCTCTCATTTCATAATATATATTTATGGATGTCAGTGTGCAGAATTATGCACAGATATTTTAAATGTCAGGAGGCCTGGAGACAGATTTCAGGATTGCGGCTACTTTTACTTTTCTTCTACTTTCCCGTGTTATCTAATTGTCTCTGATAAATACGCTTTATTTGCATAATTGGATGAAATGAGAATGCCCGGAGAATCCAGATTCTCTACCCCGGACGCCCGGGAGGCAAAGAGGTTCTCTATACGCCCTCAGCGTGGCGGGGGCGGGATCCACCGCCAGACCCCAGCCACAGGCGCAGCCTCCAGGCTGGGCCCCGTCCGCCGCCCGAGCAGGCCCGAGGATGCCGCGGCCTTCGGGGAGCCCTGCGCCCGCAATGCCGCCACCCCCACCCCCGCCCCCGCCCCCCGCCAGGCCTCTCACCGACTCTCGCAGCCGAGCGACAATCGGTCCACCCGCCGCCACCGCAGCACCGGTCCCGCGCCTACCTCCCGGCGGCTCGAGTCGCGCACGCGCGTCACCGCCCCAGGCCCTCCGCGGCCTCTCTAGGAAACTGGGAGGCCCAACGTCTCTGCTTCTCTCCGGCTCCAGTGCAGCGGGCGGCGGGGTTTGCCCAACATCTCCCACCTCCCTCCGCTGGACTTCCCTTCCACGCTCCGTGGACTTCCCTTCCACGCTTGGATGCCCAGCCGCGCCTGTTTTCTTACATCCCTCCTGTCGTGTCTGCGGGACTGCCCTGAAGGCCTCTTTCCCTCCAGGGAAGAAAGGGATCCAAAGCTAGGAGTGAAAATAGAGCCAGCAATATCTAGCAGACTGGTTCTGGCCAGGAGAAGGGGTTAAGGGAGCCGCTCATTCTTCGCCTGGGTACCCTTCAAAGAGGGGACCCAGATCCTACGGGAAGCTAGGTGCCACAACTCCTGCCTTTCCAAGACGAGCTCATCCCCATCATCACCATACGCAGGAATACCTGTTCATAACCAGCCCAGATGTGCACCATACTTTAGCTTCCCACGGCCTTCACTTGTTTTCTCCTGTGGGTGAATTCTAACTATGCTCACCTGGTGAGTGAACAATGATGCCATTGCCCAATAATATGTAGAATCTGGGAGGAGTAGGTTGGGAGGGTGGAGGGGCTGCTTGAAGAGGAGGTGAAGCAACATGGAAGGGTTGCCCACCCCCTGTAGGAGCAAATGTCACCTATTGCCGGTGCCAGAGAACCTTGAGGGTGCAGAGCCAAAGCCATAAGGCCATATGCTGCCATTGGAGGGCATGCTGCAAGCTGCTGTCCTGGTAGTCCTCTGGCCTATGCTTCCTAGTGGTAGGCTGCAACATGTTGCTAATTGATCTTTCAGATGGGCATTGATGATGCCCATCTGTGCCCTGAGGCTTTGCTTTACTCATCTGGTCTACCCCTTTTTAATGCTCCAGTCACCAAAGATGGAAACAGAGAATAGATCCTGAACACCAGGGAGATGGTGGTGAGGTGATAGAGAAACAGATGACACATTCAAACAAGGTAAGTGGGGAGAGTTCACAAGGGGCGACGTACACAAAGTGGACAGGGTTAAGGAAATGCAACACGGGGTGGTGCAGAATCCCATGGCTAGCAACATTTAGAAGCTATTCTCACCCCTAGGAGCAGGCTACTTGAGAGAACCTGTGGCTTTCAGTTGAGGGCTACATCCAATCCATAGTCCAGCACAAAGGAAGCTGGGATAATAAATAACCTGAACCCAGCTCTCTTCTGATCTCCTGCCAGGACTTCCCATTGGCCCAACCCAACTGGAAGCCAGAGGGCAATCCAGGAAACTCAGTCTCCCAAGTGTCACAGCAGGGTTGAGGACTGAGACTGAATATGGAGGGGCGATTGGAAAATATCCAACACATGCAAAAAGTAAAATAGAAACTGCTTGTCAATGCCTAATTTGTCCATTAATTTCCACTCGATATAATGTTCTTGAGTGATTCAGAACCACCCATAGTGGTGAGAAGAGTTTTCAAGTTATGTTTCAGAACAAAATTTTCCCATCATAGAAGAGTTTGAGCAGGTTCTGTGTGTTTGGGATGTACTTACTGGATGTTTTTCAACGTGATAGGTGGTTAGCATGGATAGCACCCACATTTAGTGTGATCAAACAGATCAACCAGATTGGCTTCACTAGCACTTGCCAAGTTCGGGGAGCAGCCACTGGGACTGCAGCTCTGATTTTAAGACCTACACAGCTTCTTGAATCTCAGAGTTCTGCTAATACCTGATTTCTCCGAGTGTCACACCACTCGAGCCTATAACCATGAGGTTTCTTCACTTTTCTAGTAGGAGGCATATTCTTGCTAGCTGTACTTCCTAAGCACTATATACTCTCTTTCAGATCAGGGCAGTTTGCTTAGTAAAAGCCCTAGGTAAGATTCTCAAATTCTCATGTGCATATGAATACAAATCACTTGGGATCTGGTTAAACCGTAGATTCAAATTCAAGAGGTCTGGGGACGGACCAACGAATACTTTTAACAAACTTCCAGGTGTACCCATGTTGCAGTTCCTGGACTACACTTGGAGCAGCAAAGAACTGTGCGTGTAAATCAGTGGTTCTTAACTTTGCTGCAGATTAGAATCCTCCTTAGAGCTTTTAAAAAGTCCATACCTCATATCAATTCAACCCAAATCTTTGTGGGTGAGACAGTGACAAGCCTAGATTTTAAAATCTCCAGATGATTCCAACATTTGAGAACCTGGGAGTAGATTATCCTTTTACCCTGATTCCTTGCTACATGTAAAAACCACATGCTAAAGGATTGTATGTTCATTTGCTTCTTTGTTTTGGAATTTAAAGTGCATCAGGATTCTGCCTTTCAAATAGAAGGGGGAAATTTCCTCCTTAATTTTTTTCTTCTTATTTTGAAATGGGGAAGAAAAAATTGGGGTGTTGAGATGGGGATCTGGAATGTGACTTGAGAAAAGAGACAAGATGTTAACACTGAGAATCAGCTGTGGGCAAACAAATTGGCCTGGTAGGATTTTCACTCCTTTTCTGGCCTCAAATTCAGCCCCTTCTCTGTAGTTTGAGGGAGGGGGGTTGAAATATTAGGATGAAAATAAAATAGGGCAATGTATCTGAGGATGGTGATTACTGTGATCCATTGGAATAGGGTACTTTCCTAAAAGAAAAACACAGAACAAATGTTTAAACAGTTAAATTATGTGTAATTGTGGCCATTTGAAATATATTACATATTATGTTACATCGTATTGTTGTGCCCAGTCCGTTTATTCCCCGGAGAAGACCACCAGAGTCCAGAGTCGAAGCTAAGCAGCAAGGATCTTTATTACAGGTTCGAACCCGGAACTCCCTCCTCTCAGCATGAGAGGTCCAGAGAAGAGAGGTTCCTCCCAGAGTTTTACACAGTGTTAGATAGTCTAAGAAAAGTGGTCATTGAATCATTATACAGATCAGATGTAGCAGTTGGCTGGTATTCAAACAAGTGATTTGGCTAGTTATGATTGGTTCCCGCCATTTTGAGTATTTCAGTTCAACATTTGAGACGGAAGAGCAGTTTCTACACAAAGCTGGGAATTAATCCATGTTGCGTCAGGTTATTGCACAACCAGTTTGCTATAGCAGGGGGTTTATCTTACTTAAACATGTCTTGTGACCTAACGGGAAAGAAAAACAGGTACTCCACAGAACTTTGAAACCTCTGAATGCGTGCAGAGATAAGAAAGCAGAAGCAGAACAAGGTGTAACCATAGGGAGCAAGGGGGGTAGGTAAGTCTTTGTGTTTTGTGTCCTAGGTAAGTCTTTGTGTTTTTGTGTCCTTTCAGTATAATTAATCTTCTCTGAATTCCCCCTTCTGTCTCTAATTTTAAGATACTGAAAAATACATTTTAACATGAGATTTTAGAAGGTGATCCAATTTTAAATGAATTTTAAAATTATCATTTATATCAAAAACATACTGATACATTAAGTAGTACTAATGAAGGACTTAAAATGAAAAATTGAACTCAACTCCCTCCTCCACCTTCCATCTTTTTCTGCAGAGGATATTCCTTGCATCTGAACATAAAAGTAGAGAAAGAGAGAGGATCAGGAAGCCAGGAGGGAATATACATGAGGAGTTTAAACTTTATTGGTAATAGAGGGGGCAAAAGAATCTTTAAGTCAGGCCATAGCCATGAGGAAGAAAAACTATGGAATCTTTGTTTACATGCATTGCTATACCTCAAGTACTTAGAACAACACTCACTACATAGTATGTACTCAATAAACATCTGTTGACTAATCAATCTTCTCTATATCTAACCCAGGCCCTTAGGAGGTTTCTACTGTGATAATAGCCAAATCCTCAAACAGGCCAGATTTAGCTGGTATGATAACGAAGTCCCCTCTGCTTTAACCCTTACAAGGAAAGTAATCTGAAATAACTAATGCCAACCAGTCTGCTTTTGGTTCCCTATTTTTGCTTTATTTGGCCTTTTTCTGCTCATAAAGCCAATCTACTCTGTTCAGTTTATCAGAATACCCATTCTATTTTATAGAATGAGATGTTGCCTGAATCTAGAATCACTAACAAAACCTAATTTGGTCTTTATTACTATTATTTATTTATTTTTGAGACGGAGTCTCGCTCTGAAGCCAGGCTGGAGTGCAGTGGCGCGATCGCGGCTCACTGCAACCTCCGCCTCCCAGGTTCAAGTGATTCTCCTGCCTCAGCCTCCTGAGTAACTGGGATTACAGGCGCCCACCACCACGCCCAGCTAATTTTTGTATTTTTAGTAGAGACGGGGTTTCACAATGTTGACCAGGCTGGTCTTGAACTCCTGACCTCAGGTGATCCACCCGCCTCAGCTTCCCAAAGTGCTGGGATTACAGGCGTGAGCCACCGCGCCTGGCCTAATTTGGTCTTTAAACTAAATTTGTTGCAATTTCATCTTTTGGCAACTGCTTCTGTCCTGCCTTTTTTTCATTCGCCATTCTAATATCAAGTGTTTTTTATCACATCACTAAATAATCTTCAAAATTTTATTTTTCCTCAGGGCCCTGAAGTGATCCTCCTCCTGTTCACTGACTTCCATTGCCGAGAGAGAGAGAGAGAGAGAGAGAGAGAGAGAGAGGGAAGCAGGAAGAGAGGAGAGGGTGCTGGCCTTATTAGAGCGAGAATGTAAGGGGAAAGGAAACAATCATATTAGTGTTTGATTTCTGTAATAAGTCTGTATCAGAGACAGGCTTAGAAAGCAAAGCTTTGGCATTACAAGAGCCCATAAGGGAGCAAAGCTCTCTTACAGAAAGTCTGAGGCCGGGCGCGGTGGTTCACACCTGTAATCCCAGCACTTTGGGAGGCCAAGGCAGGCGGATCACGAGGTCAGGAGATCGAGACCATCCTGGCTAACAGGGTGAAACCCCATCTCTACTAAAAATACAAAAAATTAGCTGGGCATGGTGGCGGGCGCCTGTAGTCCCAGCTACTCAGGAGACTGAGGCAGAAGAATGGCGTGAACCCGGGAGGCAGAGCTTTCAGTGAGCTGAGATTGCGCCACTGCACTCCAGCCTGGGCAACAGAGCAAGACTCCATATCAAAAAAAAAAAAAGAAACAAAGTCTGGAGGTGGAAGTTCCAAGACTTGAGACAACTAATAGAATTAGTTCATGATGTGTTACCATTCCACTGGCACCAACAACTCACTCACCACCTGTGCTCCAAGCAAACCTGCTCCTCCTGCTTTCCTTATTCTCTGTCTGAACAAAGAAGTAGGAAGTATCAGTATGGGTATTGGAAGCCACATCTATCTATACTCATTCATTCTTTCATTCACAAAGAATTTACTGAGTGTGCACTATGTGCACTGGAATTTGCTGTTCCAGACCTGGGGTATATCAGTCACCAGGTGTCAAGCAACTGATACCTGTTTCCACCTCCAACAGAGGAGTCCTGCTGGGTAGAGGACAGCAGAGCTTAACAATGAGTACCACCAAAAGCAGCAGTCCTGCGATGTTAAGCCACTGCAGGGTTTGTAGGTTTGGGGGTGTCAAGAAAGACAAGACTTACACAAGCACTGGATAGAACATTTTATTCATACAGAGAACAGACAGTAAGATCAGCTTCAATAGAGAGCATTGGTTCCCCATGACCAGTGGGACTTGCCCTGCAACCAAGGCAGACAGATGGTCTGCATACATTCTTTGCGTGTTGCCTGGGAAGGACCCCATTCCCTTCCCACTGAGAACAGATATAGCAGTGGAGTCGGGCTGGTGCCATATGATGCACATGTTTAAGCAGAACAAAGAAGTATATGTCAAACCTGGTACAGGAAAAGATCTTCCCAAACAAGGCAGTGAGCCCAGGACAGGGTGTGGAGGCTCTTTATCACCATGTAAGTAAAAGTTCCAAGCCCAAGGCACATGCTTTGAAACTGCAAGGGTTGACAGGCTGTGCAGGACTGTCTTTCCCAGCAGTCTACCCACTGACCCTTGCTTGGCTGCTGAAAAAGCAAATGAAAGGATACTGAATCGAGCAGACC